CAGTCACCCCATGCCCACCAAGTGATGAGAAGGTACAAGCCCTGGAGGAAATAGCTAAGTGCCACAGCATGGGTGGGGAGGGGGACAGCAAACTTACATTTTGGAAAGCTATGGATGTTCTCCTCTAGAATAGGGAAGCAGGGTTGCTTGTTCCCACCCCCATCACATTCTTGGGTCCGGCTCTCAGTCCAAACCTTGCGGGGCTGTTGCATAAAATGATGTGCTTTTCCCCATCCCCATCCTATGCAACAGCTAATCTCTTTGCAGATAAAAATAAGTAAATTGTACACTGATTGTGTTATTTAATTCTCATAACAACTCTATAAGAGAAATTCCATTATTCCCCCCATTTTACAGATGAGGAAATGGAGGATCTCCAGAATTCAATACTCGCCCAAGAACACAAATCCTGGTAAATGCCCGAGCCACATACTAAGCTAGACTTGGTCTCCAGACTCCTGAGAGGGAGCCGCATTCTCTACACCCGTCCATGTGGCTGATGGGGAAGGCTTAGGGACCAGCAGAGTGTTGCAACAACTTTGCGCCAGGATCCATGCCGTCCTCCTCCCTCACTTAATACCTGAAGATCTGAAAACGCCCAGAGGCCACACCTCTGTAGATCCTTCTGTTACTGATAAAGACTTCTTTTAACTGAGTCATTTCCTTCAAAAGGAGGAAAGAATATTTTTAGATCATAGCAGAAATACCTACCCCCCACCCTCAAAAACACATCGTCTCTCTGATCCTGCTCAGGTCCCGAACCCTATACCAGGCAGGACCAGTTACTGGAGGACCTCACAAGTGCCTCACAAACCCCTTATGGACAGGGACCTGAGTTCACAATTGACCCCAGGGAACCACCTGCCAGGCCCCTTCACTCAGAAAAGCTGGTCTTCGATCCCAGTGACAGGAACAGACTTGCCTCCTTAGAAGTTGGCCATCTACTCAGTTGTCTTCATTTGCTGGGCGGGGCCTTCGTTTCTGTCTTGTTCTCTCTGTCCTCCTTCCCTACTAGTTTCTGTCTTCTCTGCCTTTATCTATCTTGCCTTCTTTTCCTGCTACTCCATTCATTCATTCATTTTTGTTTTTACCTTATTTATTGAGCCTCTGCCTGACCCATAGGTTACAACTCTTGACTTCTCTCCTATTCAGGTGGCCCTCCGCCACGAGGGTCACTTGCTAGCTGCCCACTATGAAGCTGAGCCATCTCTATCCCCTTCCCTGACCAATTTCAGAGCTTGGGCTGGGTCATGCTAAGGCCATGTAGATGTTTCCTGCCAACTAGATAATGTATTCATATTTTTAACAGTTTTATTGAGCTATAGTTCAACCATTTTAAGTATACAGTTCAATGACTTGGGCAAATGTATGATGGTGTGTAATGACTACCAAAATCAAGATTTATAACATTTCTATCACTTCTGTAGAAAATTTCTAGCACATTCTTGTTCCCCTTTGCTGTCAATCCTCTCTCCCCACCTCTGGCTCTTGGCACTCCTTAATCTGTTTTCTCTCAGTATAGTTTTGGCTTTTTTTTTTTTTAATGCCATTCAAACGGCATAATAGAATATGCAGTCTTGTGTGTTCTGCTTCTTTTACTTAGGATGATGTTAAGATTCAGCCACGTCATTCAATGTATTGCTGAGGAGTATTCCACTGTGTTTATACCACAATATGTTTATTCCTTCACCAGTTGATTGGCATCTGGGTTGTTTCCAGTCTTTGGCTAAAATGAATAAAGCTGCTATGAACATTCATCTACAAGCCCTTGTATGGGTATATGTTTTGATTTCTCTTTGATAAATAGTTGTGAGTAGGATTCCTGAGTAATGTGGTAAGTGCATATTTAACTTTAGAAAAAATGACCAACTTGTTTTCCAATATGGTGGGAATTTTAACATTCCCACCAGCAGTATATAAGAGTTCTAGTTGCTCCACTTTCTCACCAACACTTGGTATGGTCAGTCTTTTTAATTTTAGCCATTCTCATAGGTGTGTAGTAGTATCTCATGGTGGTTTTAATTTGCATTCTCCTGGTAATTGTTGATGTTGAGCATCTTTTCATTTGCTTATTGGCCACCCAATGTATCTTTTGTGGTATCTTTTGCCCATTTTTAGTTGGGTTGTTTGTCTTCTTCTAAATGGATTGTGAGAGGTTTCCAATCTTTTTTAATCTCCTTTTTCTTTTTCCTTCCTCCTTCTGTCCCTCTGGCTCTGTCTCTTTCTCCCATTGTGTTTCAGTCCCAGTTTCTGACTCTCTCCCCAACTCTCAGAGTTGTCCACTATCTCCCCCTCTCTCCTTCTTTCTCCCTTGCCTCTTTCTTCCTTCTCCCACATGTGTTCTCCCTTCTCCTCCAGGACACCTCAGACCCTGAGAATCTATCCTCCCTTCCCATTCCATATTAGAAAGATCTCCAGCACAAGCCCACTGGTTTCAATCCTGGCCAGTTTCAGTGTCCAAATAATAGGACACTCCTCTCCAGATGAAGACTTAGAGAAATAAAAAGACAGAGCCTAGTATAATGGGGGGATGGCTTTGCATTCTGGCATCTTCCTCCTCCCTAAATAATTATTAGTGTTTATGGATAGAAGGGCTTTTTACTCAGACATAACATTGGAAAGTCATGGGTGTTAGGTGAAGTTCATCCTGCTTAATCAGTGGTCCAACAGTCTCCACAAACATAAGATTAGTTGTTCACATAACAAGCCTTTCCTTTGGCACATCTCCCAAGCCCAGCAGGGATTCATCTTGCCCAGTCACAGGTAAGGAGCCCAAAGCTAGTAACTTTTCATCTCCGTTTAAGGGAATTGGTTGACAATATTTAATTGCAAAGCTCAGAATATGTTATGCAATGTTAGAGAGCCTTGGATGAGTGACCATGGAATTTTTTTAAGAGTTTATTGAGATATAATTCACATACCATACAATTCACCCATTTAAGATGTACACTTCAGATATGTACAACCATTACCACCACAATCTTATAACATTTCATCACCTCAAAAAGAAACCCAGTACTCTTTAACTATCACCCCCATATCCCAACCCCTGAAACCACTCATCTACTTTCTATGTCTATAGATTTGCCTATTCAGGACATTTCATATTAATGGAATTATGTAATGCAGTCTTTTGTACCTGGCTTCCTTCACTTAGCATAATGTTTTCAAGGTTCATCCATGTTGTAGCACGTACCAGTACTTCATTCCTTTTATGGCTGAATAATATTCCATTGCATGGATATACCACATTTTGTTTATATATTAATCTGGTGAACATTTGGGTTATTTTCTCCTGTTGGCTATTATGAATAATGCTGCTGTAAATATTCATGGACAAGTTTTTCTGCGGACATAGGTTTTCATCTCTCTTGGGTGTGTACCAGGAGTGGACTTACTGGGTCATATGGTAATTCTATGTTTAATCATTTGAGGAACTGCCAGACTATTTTCCAAAGGGGCTGCACCACTTTACATTCCCACCAGCACTATATGAGAGTTTCTGTTTCTCTACATTCTTACCAACACTTGTTATTATCTGATGGGAATGGTTTTCTGATCCTATAACTGAACTGGATTCCAAAATGTCATACACACATACACAACCACACATACATTTAGACAATCATCAACACAGACACACACACACAACTATATAGTCGTGCATACCTGCACACACCTCTAAAGTTCACATCCATACACACAGAATCCCACACAGACAATTACAATCACAGCCTCATATAGACAATCACACACAGCATATGTGCAAATCAATCCATAGACCCTCACGTGTGAACGTAATCAGACATATAATAGACCAATGCCATCATATATGTACATAAAATTGTCATGGGTTCTAAACAAACATACACATTTGCACTCAGTAATGCATTCACACTTGCCCAAACGCACATACACAGACAATAGTTGTACCCACAAAAGCATAGTCCTAAAAAGGTACATGTATATAGTTAACATCACTTATGGGTAGATAACTGAAGACAGATTCAATATATTTACTCTGGATGGCATGGAGATGGTTGAGGTTTCATTAGTCCTTGGTGCCCTGGGTAGTAAGACCTTTTTATTCATTTGTTTGTTCTTTAAGCTACGACTACATATTAAGCACATAAGAAATAGAATGATGAAGAAGACATACTCCCTGCCCTCATGAAACTTAGAGTCTAGTTGGGGGGAATGATCAGAAAACGAACAAGGAAACAATCACAGTCTGAAACACACGCCAAGAAGGAAATAAGGTGAAATGTTAGGTAATAAACAAGGTCCCAAGATGGTAGGCAGTTTCCAGGATCGTTTAGTATTGTTGCTCCCTCTTTCATCCTGAAAAAGGGAAAAGGATTCAGATTTACCTTCCATAAGTCACTGGATAAACATGTGTGTGCTTGTGTGTGTTAGTATTAGCATTAATGAGAGTGTGGGCTCAGGACCTAGACTACCTGGTTTTAAATTTTATTTCATAGTAGTTGGGTGACCTTTCTTTCCCTCAGTTTCTCATCCAAAAACGGAGATAATAGTACCTGTAATAAAGATTAAATTAGCTAAAACTTCTAAAGCACTTAAAACTGCCTGGCAAGTGTTAAGTTCTCAATCAGTATTAGCTGTTGTTTCATTTTCTAAGAGTAAGTTTTCATAGAGGGAGTTGAGTGACTGGGAGATGTCTGGGGACGGGCCGGGGGGAACAGATCAACGAGCATGGCAGTGCCCTGCTGACTGTAAATTGGATGGGTCTTCATCCTCTGCCGTAACTGAGCGGTCTTTTGGAATACAGCCCTGGCATGCCACCCTGAGAGGCCATAAACCAATCCATCCCCGCCCCACTCTGCCCACAGCCACAAACCACAGAGAAGACGCACAATGGGTGGCGCTGGCTGGGCATGGTTCTTGGTTTTCAGCTGCGTCAGGCCTTTCTGTAGCAGCTCTGCTGTGGGCCTGGCTTGTGGCATTCACTGTCTGCTTGGCTGTCTTTTCTGTCTGTGTAGGTCAGCACTTATCACCCTGCACCTGCCTCCCCAGGACATTCCACGGCCATCGTCAGTCTGCCCGGCTCCCAGCAACACCTCTCAGCTAACATGTGAGTAAAAAGCTCAGCCCTCCACCCCCGGTCCTGGCACAGAGGGGTCATCTTTGCCATCCCTCTGCCATGGAGCATCCCCACTCCCAAACCATCCCATCCAGAGAGACAACATCTCCCCTTCCTTTACAACCTCCAAAGGAAATAATGACAAAAAACACAAATTAGCAAACCATATCATCCTAGCTTATTTATTTTACAAAAGTAGAAAAAGACTGGAAGATTATATACCAAAACATTGCTGGGAGATTGAGTGTTGAGAAATTTCTATTGCCTTCCTTTAGATTCAAAATATTGGATCATAAATAGATGTTGCTTTAGTAATCAGCAAAGAATAAATATAGCATTTTGGAGGGGAAAAAAACTTGCGGATGAGAACACTCCCTTAGCCCCTTTGATAAAACACTGCAGTGTCTGAGTCCTTAGAGTCTAGAACAACTTCCTGATGTCTAGCCTGAAGGCCATGTACTGGTAACCCCTGAATCTGGCAAGCCAAAGTGGGTCAGTTTTTAATGCCTTTACTCAGGCAGGAATTCTCACCTCCATAGCCGCACTAGTCCCTAGTGTCTTCACCCCCTGACTCATCCCCGGATGCTAGCTGGCTGACTCCTGTGTGGACCTCAGACTGGAAAGTCACTGCTCTAACCCAAGGTCATTTTTCCATGTTAAGCCCATTCCCCTCCATCCCCACCATGCAGCCAGTATTCCATTGTGTGCCAAAAAACTAAAATAACCCCGTCTCCCACTTCCCAGTGTCCATTTCCCTACCCACATTAAGCTAGCTTCTCAGGCTATTCCTTGGGGTCAAACACGCATCTACTCAGAGGGGCTTCTGTGCTGACCTCCCCTTTCCATGAACCTTGTGGCTGCGACCACTTTCTTGGGTGACACTCTTAGCAGTGTGAAAGAGCATCCTGGGTATTGCTTCTGGGTTTGAGACCTGGCTCTGCCACTAATTCCTGGTAGCCAACTCCTTTCTCTCCTCTCGGCCAGTTTCCCATTGTCAAAGTGCCCATGTGGCCTAAACTGGTGATGTGCAGCTGTGCAGCATCCATGGAGGAGGGGGAGATGGAGAGGGCAAGGATCTGGGCTCCTCCACTGCTGCTTCAACCAGGTTCTACCACTTTTGTCTGCCTTACATATTGACGTTTCAGTTTTTTAAGGTCTTTCAACTTTTTTAATCAGCCACTCAGCTGATGGGCTCTGAGGTGCTGCCTCCCCTCGCCCTCTGCTGGCTCCATGCCCTCCACCAGCACGCTCACCCTCTTCCTTCACCAGTTCCCTGTGTCTCCCCAGGTTTGTAGCCCTGCACTCCTACTCAGCCCACGGACCTGATGAGCTGGATCTGCAGAAGGGAGAGGGCATCAGGGTCCTGGGGAAGTACCAGGACGGCTGGCTCAGGGGCGTCTCCTTGGTCACTGGACGAGTCGGCATCTTCCCCAACAACTATGTCATCCCCATTTTCAGGTGCGTCCTCTCCAATCTCTGGCATCAGGAGGTCAGGGGCCCTCTGTGGGCTGAACTGCTGAAGAACTCATGCTCTTTCAGAGTATGGGCCGAGAAACAGCTTTTGTCCTAACACTCTCCTAACACTTAAAAAAAAAAAATAGCAAAAAGGTTATATTTCTTACAGCTCTTCACATTTTACAAGCACTTTTGCGCCTTTTAACTCCCTGGCTATGCCCAAGAATCCTGTAAGGTAGATATTATTTTCAGATGAGGAAACCGATATGCAGAGTTAAGCAACTTGCTCAAGAACTAGATTTCAGGTTTTCTACTGTACAAACCCCCAAAAACCCACTTCACATCCTGCACCCTGATACGCCATCTAGTGGCGTAATGGGGAAATGTCATGATCAGATGTCCTCCCAGAGCGCATCGGGGAAACTTCCCAGGATGCTGGGCCATTAGACAGGGTTTCCATGAACTCAGACCACTCCCCAGGTCAAATGTTAGTTTCCCTGTAGGTCTTTATCCCTAACAGCTTTTCCCAAACTTTTTCATCCTGTGGCATACTTATCAATTTCACCTGCCCACTGTTTGTCTAGCCACCTCATACCATGACCACAAATGCACAGACCTTAAAACTATCCTTGGCTCCTCCTACTCCCCCCAACCCCCCACATCAGCCCAGCCAAAGCCACAGGGCAGTGAGACCATCAGCACACATCAAATGCTGTCTTTATGACATGCCAGAGAGTCATAACTCCAAGGAAAGTGATAATCCCATTGTACACTATGAGGTTCAGACCTGGAGTCATATGTCCAGTTTGGGGGGCCTTCATGTAGGCAGGGCAGTGTGTCCGGAGGGGAGCGGCAAGGATGGTGAGACAGAAAACTACATCATGGGAGAAACTGATAAAGAAACTAGGGCTGTTACATGAATAAGGAGAACAGATTAATGGTTTACCAGAGGGGAAGAGAGTAGGGGGTGGGCGAAAGGAGTAAAGGGGCACATATGTATGATGATGGACAAAAACTAGACTAGTGGTGGTAAGCAAGATGCAGTCTATACAGAAACTGATACATAATCATGTACACCTGAAATTACGCAATGTTATAAACCAATATGACCTCAATAAAATAATTTTTAAACAAAGAAACTAGGGTTGTTGAAGCTGTAGAACAGGGTCAGAGGGACCGTAACAGACTGTGTAGGCCAGGAAGTAGACTTGTCTGATGAGGGGCAGCGAACCAGAGGACGCACCTTAGAAGGTTCTGCTTCAATGAAAGGCTGCACTTTCTAACCCACAGATTTTTCCTATCAGGCTGGCTGGTGAGGTGGTGGACCCCTTTCTAGAAAGAACACAGGCAAAGTCTGGGTTCCCATAACCCAGGTGTGCAGAAAAAGATTTCTTCCCATGGCAGAAAGTTAGAGTAGAAGATCATAGCTATTCCCTTCAATGGAAGGTTCTTGGCACTTGTTAGAAAGTTGCAAAGTCTCCTAAGGCAATCTAAGAGCGTCTGTAACTGATGTTTAATTCAGTTGTTTGACAAATATCTATTGAGCACTAACTATGTGTCAGATGCCTTTCTAGATACCGGAAAAACACCAGTGAACAAAATCACAAAACCCTGCCCACAGGAACTTACATTCTAGTGGGACAGAAAGACAGTACCCAAGATATATAAGTAATATACATGATGTGTTAATGATAAGGGCTAAGAAAAAAAATAAATCAGGAAAGGGGGATAGAATTTGTGTGGAAGTGATTAAAATCTTAATAAATTGGTCAGGGATGGGCTTACTGAGCAGTAAGAAGGAGGAATGAAGGAAGTGAAGAGGCTGAGCCATGTGGATCTCTGAGGGAAATGTATTCCAGGCCAAAGGAATAGCAAGTACAAAGACCCTGAGGTAGGAATAGGTCTAACATGAAAGCCAATAGGACTGGATTAGAGCAAGTGAGGGGGAGGCGAGTAGGAGATGAGGTCAGAATGGTAACGGGCCAGATCTTATAGAAGTTTCTAGGTCATAATGAGGAATTTGGCTTTAACCCTGTTGCAGGGTTTTGAGCAGAAGGATGACATGATCTAACTTATGTTTTAACCAGAATCCCTCTAGTTGCTGAGTTGAGAATAAACTGTAGAGAGGAAAATGTGGAAGTAGAGAAACTAGTTAAAAGGATATGGTAATAATCCAGGGGGGAGACGATGGTGAATTGAATCAGGTGTTAGCCATGGGGACAGGGAGAAGTGGTTACACTCTGGATATACTCTGAACGTAGAAAGCATAGAATTTTCTGACAGATCAAATATGGGATGTGAAAGAACAGAGGATTCAAGACAAGTCCAAGTTTTTTGCCCTGAGCAACTGGAACATGGAGTCGCTTTTTACTGAGATGGAGATGAAAACCAAAGAGGAACAGGTTTTGACGTGTGAGGAAAGCAAAAGCTTAGTTTGCAGCAGATTAAGTCTCAGATGTCTATTAGGAATCCTAGTAAAGATGTTGGTAAATGGTTGAGTATGAGAGTTTAGCATTTAAGAAAGAGGTCCAGGCTTGAGATGGTACTTACAGCCCTAAGACTGATGAGATCATCAGGGTAGGATCAATTGTATTGGAGAGAATGACTGAGCCAGCAGCTAAAATCTTAAAAGGAATGAGGGGAGAGATCTAGAAGGGAAATGATGACTGCACCAAGTGGGGTGGTGGGTGGTAGAGTATGATAACGTGAGTCAAAGCTGGCAAGTATTGAGGGGGGTCTGGGAGAATGGTGTAGAAGTGACAGTGAAGAGCCAGGAGACCTAGCCTGACTTATCAACAGTTTCTTCATGGGATCTAACATGAATTCTCCAGGGCCCATGCCTATACTAGGGCATTCGTTTACACATCAGGCCTTAGCCCAAAGTCCTGGTTATGCCATGAAAGAACCATTAGAATAAGAGTGACCATATAATTTATCATCCAAACTAGGATGTTTTTGAAATAAAAGAGGGACATTCTTAATACACCAGGAGCACATGTGTAAGTTGAGACTCTCCTAGGAAAATCAGGACATATAGTCATCCTAACTAGAATGCATGTAGCATTCCATTCTAATGTATTTCAAGGCTCCAGCTTCCCTTTCTCTCCTTCTTGGCTTTTCTCCCAGGTAGATCTGTTGTGTTCTTGGGCAAGTCATGGTCATGAGCATCTAGACTTACCCACGCCAAGATGGCTGCATGTCAGACAATGGATAGAGTTTCAGCACCCTAGATTGCCACTGAGTCCATCCCCCATCCCCAGCTCACAGAAATCAGAACATATGTGTATACTGAGGTGCTGCTTGTGCTGCTAGGTGTTTTTGCTTCTAGGGAACCAGCAGTTCCAAGAAGAACAAGTCCCTGTCAGAGTATATTCTCCTGAGGGCTATTAGGTGACAGTGGATCAATGTTTTCCCTTGATGGCCTCCCTGGTGCAGAGAAGTTTCTGTCTTCACTAATCTTGATGTGGATGACATATGCCCAATTTATCTCTCTGGGGGCAGCTCACCCTTGTTCTTAACCACCATTTCCACAGTGGGGTGTTTAGCTCCTCCCACTTCTCAGGGCTGAATGATGCCGTCTTTTGTCTGCTGAGTTTCTACTACTTTTAGCGAGTTATGCATTAGAACTGGGTAGGCTGACCCACATCAGCAAGGCTCTTTGGTCAGTGTGTGGGTGAGGTCTGCCTCCCACCATCTTTGTTTTCTGGCTGCGCTGATGGCTGTGCTCTGCCACCAGCCCGCTTGGTGTTCAGTGCAGCCTTTCATAAAACAGCCAGGGCTCAAATGTGTGTCCTGCCCGCAGAGCATTTGAACCTCTTCTCTTATTAGCATCATCCCCAGTCAAAGTTTTGGGACTAAATCTCTGCCACCGTGACCTATGTCCCCTGATTCCGGAGGCATCCACTGGCTCAGGTTGTACAGAACATTTGTCACCTTTTTCTCTACAGCCCTTCTTACTGGCACCAACATCCCTTTGGGTTTCCTCCTTCATGCGTAGTCTTGGTGGGAGGCAGAAGCTTTCTCCCTTTTCAGAGGCTGAAGAAACCAGCTCCTCTTAATAGCTAAGGGACAGGCTTGGCCAGTCTGATGCTCCCTCTTGGGACCTGGAAACTTGAACAAGGGAGGAAAGAATGCGAGCAAAGTTGAAAACCACTCATGGCAAGAACACACGTAGCAGCCTCTGATCTGACTCTTTCCGCCTCAGGTTCCTGCTGCCGAGCTCTGCAGCCTCCCTTCGTCCTGTTTCCAAGCCCTTTCCTCCCCTCCTGTCCCCCCAATAAATTCCCTTCTGCCAGGATATTTCTCTTTCTTGCAACCTACACAAGACAGACATATATGCCCTCCTGGTGCCTTATGGATGGAGAAAAGTGACTCATGGGCCACCACTCACTTTCCTTTAACTTTCTACACAGAACGATGGGAAGATTGGCAAGGTCCAAGCTTTCGCCTCACCAGGCAGCTACTGCCAGTGGGGAGCACAGTAGAGCTGCTGATGGTAATGCCCCAGTCAGATATTGGGCAAGCTCTTAAAGGCTCATACCACAGATAGAAAAGGGGACACAGGGACCTGCACACTCACAGCAGCACAGTGGAGCACATCAGAGGCAACATGCACTCCTCCCACTTAAACTGAGAGTGTCTTTCAGTCCCTCCATCTAGAAAACAAGGGTCATAATGTCTGCGGGTCTGGGGTGTCATGGGGATTAATGAATATATCTAAGTAAAGTGCTTTGATGTTAGGAGAAAGTGCCAGGTAAGTGCTAAGCTTTTTGCCAAAAGACATAGAGGAACTCAGTGTTGGATGGGGGACTTGGGATTTAGGAGTTTCTGGAATCCAGCCTAGGGCTGGGCTCGGAAAAATGAGGTCACACCTTGATCTGTAAACAGTTGTTCAAAGAAGGGGCTAGTGGAATAAGGCTGGCTTGGGCCTAGTTAACTATCTTCTGTCCTTGCTGCTTCTCCTGCTTCTGGAAACAATTTGGAACCTGTCTTTCTTGTTGTCAGTCCATTTTGCAGCATCCAACACCTAGAGGCGTCTGTTCAAAAGACAGGCAGATGCGGATTCTGCATGGAAGTCAGTGCTGGGGATTTCTCTCCACTGCCCAGCCCTCATCTCGAGAATACAGGCTGAGCTCTTACTGGCGGACAGCCACTCCCCTCCACTGACTGCATCACCAGGGGCGAGAGGCGGGTTGACAGCTATGGATAGAAGCCCCCTTGCTGCAAGCATCAGTTCCTAGTGCATTTGGCTGCATATGCTTCTTGGGCGGAGTGAGCCACATTAAATGATGCCTTACCCATCTTTGTACAACACTGGCTGGCTCGTTATTAAACCACATATCACTTTTTTAAGCAAAAGGAGGAGAGAAAAGGAGAAATAGGGGGAAAGTACCTAAATAGAAACCTGGAGGCATCGACAAGAAGGAAACCACCAGGGAGGGCATCTCTGTGCCCGGGCCTTGGTTGAGCTGTTTATTCCCAGGGAATTAGCAGAGGTTACTTAATCAACAGAGCAACAAGGTGATTGAGGGTCTGCTCAATACGGGCTGTAATGTTGGGGTCAGATTGGGGCAAGAAGGGCATGTAAAATGACTGCCATCCTCATGGGATTCAGGCAGTTGTAGGCTATAAACGATGGACAAGGGATTGCTGTTTTACAAAACTTTAATACTGTTCTTAAACACCAGAGCCCAGGGATGAAGAATTAGGGTCTTATGGAGGTGTGTGTAGGGTCTACCAGCTGTTTTAGTTCATTTATTTCAAGCAAGATGCAGGGTGTTCCCTGCTACCAAATGATGAATGCTCTAACTAGCCAGAAGGTAGTGTACCTCAGTGGTAAGAGCACAGGTGGTGTAGCTCAGTGGTAGAGCAGGTAGAGCCTGGACCCTGGTTCAAATCTCAGGTCTAGTAGTTGTTTGGACGAGTAACTGTAAATCTCTTTTTTTATAATCTATAAAATAGTAGCACTAATAGTACTTACCTCAGAAGGCTGTTGTGAAGAATCCATAAGATAATGTAGGCTAAGCCCTTGGCCAAGGCCCGGCATACAATAAGTGCTCAATATGTGTTAGCCAAAATGACTAGCATCAGTGCCAAAAGCATCCTGGCAGCCATTCAACAAACAATCATTAATAAACAATACAGGCAGAACACAGAGGATATAAAATAAGTCATAAAATCTCTGCTTTCAAAGAGCTTAGAGTCTAGAGGGAAAGTCGCTAAGCAAACAGGAAATCGCCACTGCAAAGCGAGATGGCAAGATCTTGTGCTCTGAACTCAAGGGCTGAAGAGAGGTCGGGTGAGGAGTGATCAGAGCAGGAGTGAAAGATGACAAAATTCAAGGCTTCTAGCTCCCCCAGGGCCTCAGTGTGGGACCCCCCCCCCCCCACCCCTACCCTCAGCGCACTCACCGGTTATCGTGGTGTGGGAGGAGGTGAGGCCTCCTCAGGCAATCCTGTGTGGTTGGTGGAGAGTGTATATATGGGCAGGAACAGGGTGAGGAGCAGCCACATTTGGTGTTGTATGGTTGGGAGCTGATAGTTTTTTAAAATAAGACTCTTGACTGAACATTCTCTATTTCTTCTCTTTTAAAAAATTTCCCACAACCAGAAAGACATCTAGCTTTCCAGATTCCCGGAGCCCTGGTCTCTACACCACATGGACGTTATCCACCTCCTCTGTGTCATCCCAAGGTAGCATTTCAGAAGGTGACCCTCGGCAAGGCCGCCCCTTCAAGTCTGTCTTCGTGCCCACCGCCATAGTCAACCCTGTACGGAGCACGGCCGGCCCGGGGGCTTCAGGACAGGGCTCTCTTCGGAAAGGGCGGGGCAGCATGAGAAAGAGTAAGTGGTGGCAGAGAGGTACGTGCCTAGAGCTAAGTGATGGGGGGGATCCGACTCTGGGGTAGACAGAGTACTTTTTACAAACATAAGGATCTTGGCTTGAAAACAAGCCTCTGTGAAGGGTGCTTTGAAATTCCCAAATACCGAGTTGTTTTATTGGAAGAAGCCAGGGCGACTTCAGGTCACTGCCCTTGGTCACTTTGTACACGCACATTGAGTGGCTGGGAAGATAGCAGCTCTGAGTGCCAAGATGTAACTAGAACACAGCCAAGGTGGGTGTTGGCTCTTAGTAAGACAGAACAACCAAAGCACTTGCTGGATCAGTGCTTCTCAAACCATGCTCCAGGGAACCCCTCAGGGGGTGCCAAAAGGGAAACAAGGGAAGGATGGAGGGAGAAGGAAAAGAGGGTTAAGGAGTCAACGCTAAGAGCCTCTGACTCCCACTTTGTTATTTAACTAACATATTCACAAGGTAAAAAGCAAATTATATTGTACAAAATAATGCAAAAGTAAATCTCCTTCATATCCTTAACCTCAGTGCCAAGTTTTCTTGCATGTACATATGTCCCTTGTGTTCAGACTCCCTGCACTGTTCTGTACCTTGCTTTTATTTTTACCTATGTTAACACCCACGTTGTACACAGGCAACGCATACAGATCCTTCAGCTTAAAGGCTGTGCTTTTATCTCCTAGTATATTGAACTTCTACATAAGACTTCATTTTCAGGGGTTCTAAAAAGTGTTTGAAATGTGTTGTTCTACAAAACATCAAGGTTCTATATCCATACCCCTCTCTGAAAGATGACAACAAGCCGAGTAAAATTTGATTTATGCCATGTCTCCTGCTTTTAGGTGGGCTCTGCAATCTCTCCTGCTATTCTAAAAAATGATTAAATATAAAAATGCAATATGACTAGTCAGAGCAAAAGAGTGACATGTGGGACAATATGCCACACAGAAAAATGTCCCAAGAAAATGAAAGCAAATATCTTAGCTCCACCCTCTCCCAGTGCCTTCATCTGATCACCTGCTTGACCACCAGTCCCGCTACTGTTGCCGCTCAATTCTACCCCACCATGCCTCCCTCCTTCCCCTCCTGTACCTTCCTCCACCTTCCCCACCCCCACACACGCATCAAATAAGCAATCCCATCATCACAGCTTTGGGCCAGTTACTGACCTCTTCAATCTTCAGTAGTCTCATTTGTAAAATGGAAATAAAAATAGTACCTACCTCATCAGTGTTACTGTATGGATTTAATAAAATAATCCCTATAAGACTGATGGCACAGTGCCTGGCACATAATAAGCTCTTAAGAAATATTAGCTGTTTTCATAGTATTATCATTTCGCAAGTCTTATCATTGCTACCACAACTAAGCAGATCGTCTTCGATCCATCCAGAGCATTAACTCACTTAGACCAACCACCTACAAATGCCAAGAAGCGCATCCCATTGCCAACTGCTCACGATTCCTTTCACACCCTCCCTTCCCACATTTGCCTAGATCTAGATTGTCTTCGAGCTTTCACTGCTTGCATTGTATGCACACGTAATAAGAAAGCATTAACTCTCCTGGAAATCAGGAAATGACAAGATAAATAGCTAATGCATAAAATCACTTTTTCACATGTTTCCGGCAGCCTAAGGCCATGTCTGCCCAGGGCTGCTTTGACTTTCCAGATCCCGGAGGCTTTCTCTCTCCCTTTTCCCAAGGTGAGGCTGGACAAGCTATCAGTCTCCCCAGAGCGAAGAGAAATGACAGCAGAATTGACTGCATGCACCTCACAGGGCTGTCAGTGGAAAATAGATGTGTACCTTGAAAGGTCAGACTTGTGTGAATGGTGACTGGCCTGCTTGCAGCAGCTGAGAATGCCGACTGTGTTTAGTGAGCATTCTGCTTTTTCTGTTCGTATCCGGCTTGATGAAGAGTCCCAAGGGAGAACATGGCCTTGGCTCAGGCCCTCTGTGCTGGGCACAAATGACTGATTCACACATTTGTCCGTAGAGGGTCAGGAAGAACAAACATTTCTAACTGGACGTCACCTATGGCTCTCTAAGTGCTGGAGACCCTTATGGAGAAATGGCCCACAATGCTTCTCAGCGGTGTCTCCCCCAGCTCCCCTCAGAGGGCAATGGACTCCTAATTAATCACCAGGTCACCTACAGGACATATGCCCAAGGGATAGGAATCGCCTGTCTCCAGAGGATTTGAGGGGAAGGAATGGTTCCTCTATCCGGGGGAGGACCATCTCAATTAACAACAACAAAAAAAGACCGAGCTCAGGGAAGGGGCAAAACCAAACTCCTGGGCTTGCATTTTTAGGGCTTGCTATCCTTTACCCCAAAATAACGATAGCTAACAAACATGGGGCGTTTACCATGTTCCAGGCACTAGCCCAACACTCCGCACACGTCATCACGTGTAATGTTGCCACCAGCCCAATAGGGGCTGTTATTCGCTCTGGTTTACAGATGAGAGGACTGAGGCGCAGGGGTGACATGACTGACCTGTCCCAGGCTCCCCGCGAGTGAGTCTGACTCCAGAGCCCGTGTCGTGGGACTCCGCAAAGCTCATCCTCACACAGCCCTAACTCTGGAATCACCTTTCCAAATTTGCTTCTGTCTACGGTCACGTTTGTCTAACACACACACTCCCTCTTAATCGCATTCTCCCTTCCTCCTGTAGCCCCTGACTAAAAACGACCTCACTACCACATGCCTGAAGCTTCTATGAGAACTTTCTTCAGGCAGCTGATCAGAGTCCTCTCCCCCCTCTCTCTCTTTCCCTTTCTCCCTCCTCTTCATCCCTCTCAGTTGGCTCTCTCTTCTGTTTCTCAGTTTCTGCTCTCTGTCTCTTTCTGTCTCTGCCTTTTGTTTCCTCTTTGGTCCACCTGCCTCTATATTTGCTTCTCACTGTGCAGCTATCTTTTTAGGTCTGTCTTCTTCACTTTCCATCTTAAAAGCCTGGAGAGAGACAGTAGGAGTGTGTGTATGTGTGTGTGCACGCACACACATGTGCGTACGTGTGTGTGTGAGAGAGAGAAGGCAAATGGAAGTAATACACCTTCTGACACAGCCCCCCCACCTCAACATTCAGCTAGCCAGTTATTTGCTGCCAACATCAGCAAACAGCACTAAAAAAAGAATAAGGTCACCTTTGAAAGACCCTGAGAGAATGTGAGCACAGTCAAATTGGGAAAGCACATAACTATTCTGGGATATCAGGACACACTGCTCACCCAGCCCCAACCCAACCTGCTGTCAGCCACCCCCATCGCTGATATCTCTGTCATATAATTCCCCAGATGGATCCCTGCAGAGACCCGTCCAGCCAGGGAACCCCACCCTTGTGGTGGGCTCCCTCAGGCGCAGCCCGACCATGGTCGTACGGCCTCAGCAGTTCCAATTCTACCAGCCACAGGGAGTCCCCTCCTCACCCTCGGCAGTGGTGGCAGAAATGGGACCCAAGCCCACTCCCACTGGGGAGCCTGCCCTCACGTGCGTCAGCAGGGGCAGCGACACCAGGATCCACTCGGCAGCCAGTTCCCTCATCATGGAAGGCAAGGAAATGCCCATCAAGAGTGAGCCTCTACCCAAACCACCTGCATCTGCCCCACCGTCGATCCTGGTGAAGCCAGAAAACTCAAGAAATGGCACCGAAAAGGTAGGAGTAAGGCAACGTTAGGGGCCCTGACTCTGCACGGTATCCCAGCTCCTGAGATTTCAGTTTTAGTGGACAAGGAATCAAAATTTCAGCCTCAAAAGAATCCTCATACCACTTACACCCCCAAGATGTGTTTCTGAAGCTCCCCTATGCTTCCGGAGTATTTTATACATACTCTTTCGAGGCCCAGAGGTGGCTTGGAAAAAACATGACTTTGGCATCAGAGAAAACCTTGATTTGAATCCAAGCTCTTCTGCTTGCTGGCTGGTGACTTTAGGCAAAATATTTCACCTTTCTGACTCTTTTTTGCCTACTGTGTAAAATGGCGGTAAGAATAGTAACAGTCTCATAGGATTAGAGTAGAGATTAAATGAGATAAGATGTGTAAAGTGCTTACATAGGGCTTAATACATAATTATTCAGGGTATAGAAGAGGCAACTGAGACGCAGGAGAATTTAAGTGACCTCTCAAGGTCACACTGAGTTATATTGACTCCAACAACTAACTTTTACTGTGACCTTTGTGGCAGAGGTCAGATCCATTAACTTCTAGTCCAGGGCTTTTCCCACTAAAATACAAGCAGTTTTTATAAAAGTATTATGTTCTCAATAATAGCCTCTAGGCAAGAGGGATGTGGAGATGGAGGAGGTGACACTATGAAAATTAGGTGATTGTTATTTTTTAGTTTATTGAACATCACCACCACCGCCACCACTACCACCACCAGCACCACCACCACCATCACCACCACCACCGCCATTACCACCATCACCACTATCACCATCACACCATCACCACCACCACCACCACTACTACCACCGCCACCACCACTGCCACTGCCACCATCATCACCACCACCACCTCTGCTGCCACCACCACCACCAGTGCCACCATCACCACCACCACCACCGTCACCACCACCACCACTCATCATCTATTCCCCTCCAAATGGAAAGATGGTGTGGTTTCTTCCTCTTTGTTAAGCATTAACTGGATGCTATGACTTGGCAGGCACTGTGCTGAATAGCTCACATATCCCATCTCACTTAATCCTGACAACAACTCTCTGAAGTAGGTATTATTATTATTGTCATCCTCATTTTAAAATGAGGAAATGGAGACCTAGAGAGTTAAAGGATATTACCCAAAGGCACACAGCTGACACGTGAGTTTCTAGAGTAGAATCCATATCTGATACAAAAACTCATGCTCTAAATACTAAGCTATACATTTGTAGGGAAAGGCATTTGGAAGAAGTTAATTTTGACTGATATAAATGTTGGGAGTTCTTTTTCTGATTTACAGTATTCAAATAATTCAAAGTTTTCCAGGCCCCAGTTGCCCATTACCGCAAGCCGTTAGATACAGCCTCCAACTATACACATTTAGTAAGTTCCTAGACCTCCGCCAGATATGGTGAGGATGAAAAGTATGAAGAAACTTGGATTCTCAGTGGGGGACAGTAGGATCAAATTTTATGGAAAAAAAGGAATGTCTAAGCAGTACTGCAAAACACTTTATTAAGCCCTAAAATAGGGGTTGGCCCAAACAAATGTCTATTGGTACCAGGCAGATATATAAGAGGCTAGGAGAGGTGAAAGGAAGAGAGAGAGGAGGGGCTTATGCAAACAGGAAACCGTGCCTCCCATCTAAAGGGAGACCTGCTAATCAGCCCCAGACAGTTCTTGCCAGAATGGGGCACGGGCCCCAGTGTGCCAGATCTTTGGTTTTTTTGAGACATATGAAATTCTGATTTTTTTTTTTTTTTTGCAATCTCCCAACTTTTACATGTTGGCCACTAAATCAAACTTTCAGACATTCTGCAGACTAAATTCAGCCAGCAGGTGTCCAGTTTGCAAACTGCTCTGAGGACTTATAAGGCCATTATGGAACTCTCTAGATGGTGTCAGCAGGGGAGGCCTCAAGGAAGAGGTAAACCTTGAGATAGGCCTTAATGGTAAGCAGAGAGGAGAGAAGCAAGGTGAACGTCTCGTACTTTCTGGAAGGGATCATACCCTCTTGCCTCAGGCCCTTTCCTCAGGTAGGTGTTTGCCTACTCTCTTTCTCCTGGATAATTCCTATTTGTACTTCGGTTCTCAATTTAAATAGCTCTGCCTCCAGGAAGCCTTCCTTGACTAGCGCCCTTCCAGCTTCAGTTAGATGCTCCTCTGTGTTCCCTGAGCCTCTTAGACCTCCCGCATCATAGCGCAGTTATAATTGTCTGTCAGGGCGTTTTTGTTCCCTCTTGGATTCACAGCACCTGACAGAGTGCGTCTTGCGTAGTAGACTCTCATAGTAGACATACGTATTTGCTGAATGAACACAGAAATGAGGTATTTCAAATAGGATAGGTATAGAGAAAGAACATGAACCAAGTCCCAGGTGAAAATGGCACGTCTCCCACCTCACAGGGTCCCTTTGCTCTCTCTTCTCTTGCAGCAAGTCAAAACCGTGAGATTTCAGAATCACAGCCCTCCTCCCACCAAACACTATACCTCCCACTCCGCCTCCGGAAAGCCTGAGCAGCCAGCCACCCCTAAGGGGCCCCAGCCTGAAGCAGCCCCCTTGGGCCCAGAGATGACCATCCTATTCGCCCACCGAAGCGGCTGCCATTCTGGACAGCAGACAGACCTCCGGAGGAAGTCAGCTTTTGGCAAGACCATGACCCCGGTGTCCACAGCCTCAGCCACACAGACCGTGTTTCCCAGCAAATGAATCTACGGGTGGCTTTTCCTAGACCCCAAAGAGGTGAATTGCCTTTAAATACAGTCTGCCTCCAATGAGGGCGTCCTGCCATTCTTTGGGGACTCAAGTATGGGTCCTTGTTCTGTCCATTTTACCTCCAGGAAAGGAAAGGTGGGAACAGGGATTCCTGCCCTGGGTGGGAAGATAAATTGGGTGCCCTTCCAAGCTTAGTGATATGATGCAGCAAGGCCACTACTCAGACCAAGGAGTGGGAGACCATCCTGCCACCCTGTTGCCCAGGGTGGAGCGTGCGGACTCTCATCCCCCATGTTCTGCTTAGAATTTCTGTGGTGTCCTACAAGGGGCTTCGGCCAGGAATGTCACAATGGTCAGAATGTTAGCATTGCCTCTTCGACCTCACCACGATGTTTTCAACAAGCATTAGAACAGCTCTGCCATCTTCTGGGCCTATACACTGGCCACTATTAGCCGCCTTATCTTTTTCCCTCCGTCGAGTCATAATCCTGACTACAAAGGGAGAATTTCTGGGAAGGATATGAGATGTATACTTGGAACATTCCAAGAACGCTCTAAAACCAAAGGGAGTCAGCTTCCTGAGTTTGCCCCAACAGGAAGGTCAGAGAGTAAGCTGACTACCCAGTGTCAAAAGATTATCAAAGTCTAATCTGTTCTTGCACATATAATCCTACACGATAGATAAGGAGAAAGCACGTAGCTGTGGACAGTACTATGGACGATTAATTCATCCTGACTCCGTAGTCTAACTTCCCTAGGGAAAAACAACATGCTTAGAAACAAGGATGTAAGGGGTTTGAGTTTAGGTATATATTCTATTTGCATTGCAACATTCTTTACTTTCTCTCATTTCTTCTCATTTGGCGCAGACTAGCTGTTTCATGGGATTGCAGGATAAGGGAACCGTGTTGGTGAGAAGATGGCAGTCCAAGCTTGGGGTGGGGCGCTTCCTAGAGGAAAGCTGCTCTAAAAGGGACTGGGCAAAGAAGATGGGAGAGGAAAGGAGAAGGAGAAGAGGGAGGGTAAAGGAAATATGGAGGAGAAAGCGTAGGGTGATGAGAGTAAGAGAAAGAGCATTGGGAAAAAGTGTCAGAGAAGAAGAGGAGAGAGGCGGAGAGTGGCCTTGACATTCCTGACGAGTGGGGAAAGAAGCATGGAATCTGCAAAACCAGGTGACCCCATTAAGATGGGGCTGAGGTGAGCGGGACCAGCCAGGCAGAGCCTTGTAAACAGAGGTGAGAGAGCATCCAGAGACGCGAGGGGGTGCTGGGAGATGACCCATTAATTCTCATTAAACCTAACTGTTGTGCTCTAACATTTATTGCATGCCCATATAAGCGGGCACTTTAATGCCTAAATGCTGTTTGCTACTAAGTCCGAGTCCTTTTTTAAAAAAAAAAGGCAGGTCTAATTGGACCTTTCCCCTGGACAGTTCTTGAAGATCCTGGGATTAAACACATGTATGTTTTACAGACCCACTTATATACTTGGCAAACTGAATTGTCCATGGACTTTTCCAGACCTTAACAAAACAAAAACAAAACCGTAATCCTGCCAAGGAATACTGTACACGTGCCAGGACTTTGGGGCACATTCTAGTGTTTCTATGAGATATTGACCCATGTCTAATCCACAAAATCACCATGCCCAGCCCCATGCCTCATTGAGCTAACTATCACAATTCCAATGGAGAAATGGGAAAAGTCACAAGGAGCGAGAGTCAGTGTATGACTTGTCAAAATATGAGTACCTATGCCTCGTCTTTACCTAAAAACACCCTCAATGCGCTTAGCAATAAGGTTAGCAATCTGCTCTAGACCCAGAGTGGCAGATATATGATATGTCCAGCCAGCCAGATATTTAGTCCGTGCCTCAGTAACAATGGCTCCAGTTAAATTTTAACTGTTGTGGCTGACAAGTAGGTTGTTTGGGTGTAATGGATACCCAATACATGCCTATTCTTCCCATGGTCCACTATCTCTGGAGGGTAACTCTCTGAGAACTGTAAACAACTCCAAAGGCTCGCCACCCCCATTCCATCCAGCCTCTTCACCCATACCCAGCATCAAACTCACTCCCTCCCAGACCAAAGTCCATCTCTGTGGAGTCTTTTGAGGATTTGAAAAGGGCAGAAGGTGTTACTTCCAAGTAAAAGTTGAACTCAGTGGCACCTCCAATCATTTATTCCACCAACATGTTCCAGACATTTCCTATGTGCTGGGTACTGCAGTGAGGACGATAAATACATCCTCTCCTATAATTTCCACCACAACCTTATAAGGTAGGTATAATTGTCCCCATTGTAGAGCCAAGGAAACTGAGGCTTGAAGGGTAACCATAGAGAGTGGCAGAGCGAGGATTCAGACTCAAGCTGTCTAACTTCAAAGCCCTGCTTGGGACCATGCCGTTTGAACCAAGAGACCATCCTTGACTTCAGGATGCTGACTTCAGACTGTGGTAAGGCAGGACGGTGTGCTGATTACAAGTGCAGGCTCTGCTGCACACAGGCGGGGTTCAAATCTCCATTTACCACTTGCCATTCATGTGATGTTGTGCAAGTTACTTAACCTCTCTGAGCTTTGCTTTCTGAAATAGGAATGATAATAGTGCCAACCTCACTAGCTATTGTGAGGATTAACTGAGATAATATTATAAAGTGACATTGTGCTGGCACATAGCAAAAGTCTGACAAATGTTGGACCTGAACATTTTTGAGGAAGCAGGCCATTGAAATTCCAGGGGAGAAAGACTAAAACAAACGCATGCCCGAAGCTGTGGTGCTACGAGGACACCAAGGTAGCCTCGTCGTGGGGGTCAGAGCACAGTCTAAGCTGAGTCCTGAAGGATGAGTAAGAGTCAGATGGGCAGAGGGGTGGGAGAAAGGATGTCCCAAGCAGGGGAAGAGGCATTTGGCAATTGGGTTTAAATGTAGCAATTAAGTCAAGTTCTCTTGTACTTAGAGAAATCCACTCCTTTGTGAAACATTCCAAGGATCCCAGGTAGAACCTTAGCACCTCACATCTGAAGCCAAATATTGCATCCCGTAAGAGCTCCATCCCCCCACTAAGACTCAGAGTCCCTAGCGAGGGTGCCCCATGATCAGACCCCGGCACCTCAGTGCTAGGAAAGCTGCTGAGGGCAGGCTCTGATTGATGAGGCAGGGGGACATCTGAGGGGTGAAGGAGGGGCACAACCAGCTGAGGACAGACTCTGAGAGCCATACTTGAGGAAATGGTGTCCTTAAGCAGCATCAAGATCCTCTCTTAGGGCTTCTCTCCTTCCGTTCTCGTGTGGGACCAGCTCCACCTGCCCTGCCCTTCCCCATCCCATAGACAGGAATTTGGGAGCAGGAAGAGTTTAAAGCAATGCTCCACCTGTGACTTGGTGAGATGCAGGACTGACTCAATACAGGCTCACTGACTTCCATCTTCTCTTGAAAATTTAGAAGGTCTGTCCACACCAGGCCTGCATTCCTGAGCGGCAACAATCTGGTGGGGCTGTGTCAGGGTCAAGGCAGCTTTAGTCACATAAACAGACATGCACTCTTCAATTTACCACGGTTCTACTAGCCTGCTTCCCTCACTCACATGACCTGCCCCTGAACTGGGCATGTTCCCCTAGGGACTGCGTGCTGGACTTCATCTCCTAGAGCCATCGTGAACGCTTGAAAGTTAGAGCTGGATCCTCAAAGATCAGCTGATCCAGGACACTCAGGTCTCACGAGCATAGTGGGCTTAGCCTACAGAATGTCATTCAGGAGCTTTGAGGTGGGGACTGGGCATCTGTGTTTTCAGCAAGCTCCCCAAGTGATTCTGGTGCACATAAAGTATGCAAATCAGGGGCCACCCTGTTGGCACAGTGGTTAAGTGTGCACGTTTCACTTCAGCGGCCCAGGGTTTGCCAGTTTGGATCCCGGGTGCAGACAGGGCACCACTTGGCAAGCCATGTTGTGGCAGGCGTCCCACATAGAAAGTAGAGGAAGATGGGCACGGATGTTAGCTCAGGGCCAGTCTTCCTCAGCAAAAAAGAAAAGAGGAGGATTGGCAAATGTTAGCTCAGGGCTAATCTTCCTCAAAAAAAAAAAGTATGTGAATCAAATCCACCTTTCTCATACTGTAGAGCAGAGTCCACATTTGGCAGGAGCAGGGCCACACTGGTTGTTAATACATTGAAATAGGCCTGTACTGATAGGTGAATAGTGGATGCTCTGAGCTCCTCACAGCCTCTCCCGACTCCTGCACCCTGACCCTTCCCTCAGGTCCTCCCCATCACTCTGCTATCCCACACTAAGGGGCTAAGGCCAGGTGCAGCTGAGACCTCCAGCAATAAGGCCCGTCTCCATTCTGATTGCCTAGCGCCTACGCCGTACTGGTTGTTAAAAATCTTGACTGTTACCCTGCTGTACAAAATAAGGCCCAGAGAGGTCACTCAGAGGTTGAGGGCACTGTTATCAAGTCCAGCACACTTCCCAGTCCCCATCCTGGCCACTCTCCAGTCCTCGACAATCACCTTCAGGCCGTTGGCTTAGGAAAGGAACTGACTTGGAGGGTGGGTAGTTCCATGCTCACTAGTCTGCCTCTTTCAGCTAACGCTTTCCCAGGCATCAGCAAAGCCCTTTAGCTTCCCAGATCCTCTGGCATCAGTTTGGCTGGTACAGAAGTCATTCGTTTCAAGAAGATGAGCAAGCGTCTATCCTCATCCTCTCCCCTGCCTCTGTTCACACAGGCCGGCCCACAGCCCCTAGACTCCCTTCCTGGGAAGTGAACAGCTGTGTCAGGCAGAATAGCAAAGTCCAAGTTTCTCCAGCTGCAAGTAAGAGCTCAGCAAGCTGGGCTCTACCAGGGCCAGCCGCTGCTGCCACTGATGCTTCTCTTGTATATGTCTTGAGGGTAAAGACCCCAGTTCTACCTTTGCTAGGAGAAGGGAGTGTTAACATTTCCAGCAACCTCTCAGGTGACCATGAAAGAGAGTCACTTAGGGAATGTGTTTGGCAGGCAAGACCAAACCAGGGGAGTTAACTCTAAAAATCCTTGCAGCAGGTTGGTGTCATTAAGAATAAATCTTAAAAGGACATTTTGCTTGAAATAGAGCAATGTCAAATGATCAAGCCATCTGTTTTCCCGGCCATCGTATAGTGTCCTAGACCAGAGCAGAAACAAAATGTTCCCAGGAAGCCCTTCTGCCTACTGGCCTATACTTTGACAAATAGAACACAGCAGAGGCAAGCTCAAAGATGGCAGGAGCAGGGAGCATGGAGGAGCAGTGCAGACTGACCTGTCCACCCATCCATTCGTTTCACCACAGTTGTTTATCACCCACTCTGGACCAGGTTCTGTGCGAGGCAATGGGGATACAGAGGTTATCAGGATAGATAAAATACGTGGCCCTCCCAGTGTGCTGTTTCTTATTAGTTTTTTTCTGGATGGGGCTCCCTTCTGCTTTTCTCCCCTTTTTTAAATTAAATGTTATATGTATAATTATACAGGATCATAAAATAAATAACCATAAACTTACCACCTACATTTTTTTTTTTAGGTTTACTTTTTGGTGAGGATGATTGGCCCTGAGCTAACATATGTTGCCAATCTTCCACTTTTGTTTTTCTTCTTCAAAACTTCAGTCCATAGTTGTATATCCTAGTTGCAAGTCATTCTAGGTCTGCTATGTGGGATGCCACCACAGCATGGCTTGATGAGCGGTGCTAGGTCCCCACTCAGGATCCAAACTTGCGAACCCTAGGCTGCCAAAGCAGAACGCGTGAACTTAACCACTCAGCCACAGGGCCTGCCCCCAACCTAGATTTTTTAAAAATAATAATTACCAATACCATTGAGGCCTGCTGTGTGCTTCTCCCAATCTCGTTCCTTTCTTCTCCTCCTCCCCACCTCCCTCACAACCGCTCCCAGAATTCCATGCTTATCCTTCCCTTGTAAATTTCCCACACGTGTGCCATACGGAATTTTCAGGGCAGCTTATAGAGGTGCTCACTAACACCAGTCAAAGCAAATATTGCAACCTGAAGCCATAGACACCCTGTCTGAATATTTGAGCTCCCAATTGGCTTCTGTCACTGGGAGATGAAGGCTTTGATTCACTGCTAGGAATTGAGATTTTTGATGCACCATCATGTCTGGTTTTGAGAAGTTCTAGTTTAGAGGTATTTTTATAAGAATTCTTCCAAATACAGCTGTTTTGGGAGAACTTGTTCCTCCTGAACATGGAAAATGTGGGTTGTAGCCGTGCCCAAATTATGTGAGGATAGAGCTGTCTAGGCAACTCATCTCTGGGCCTTTCCTGACACCTCTGGGCAGCCGACTGCTGAAACCAGAAGCAGCTCCTCAGTATCTGAAACTCAAACAGATCTTGCTACTGCTGACAAATTCTCATAATAACCTTGTGAAGTATGCAGGGAAAAGCGGGTTTTGTCCCCAGACTACACATCAAAAAACTGAGACTCAGAATGTTTCAAAGCCTTGCTTAAGCTCACATACTTAGTTTAAGATGGAAGAGAGACTAAAAAAAAATTCTCTCTGACTCCAGCAATGATTTCCACCATTTACCAAGCAGCTACTATGTGCCAAGCACTTCATGTGCATTATGCCATCCAATCCTACCAACCCTGTGAGGGAGGTACTTCTATTATCCCATTTTAGAGATTAGAATTAAGGTTCAGAGGTCAAATGACCTGTCCAAGGCAATAAGGACTAGAACCCAGGACTCTAAGCCCAAACTTTAATCTTAAATCACAACGTCCCTCTTCCACACTGGCAACTATAAACACACGTATAACAGGGACGAGGTTGGAGAAGATGGACAAATGGGTGTGTGCTGCTGAGATCATGGGGACAAGGATGAAGATGGGGACCCAGGGTGATGGTTTAACTCAGAGGGTCAAGCCCTCTCAGAGAAAAACTACAAGATAGGGTCTTGTCATCCAAGAAGTAGGGGTGAGAAGGAAGGCAACTGAGAGTGTTCTGTACAGAGAAATCCAAAAAACAAACCTCCCCCTGCTGCAAGGGCGGCCAGTCACAGCCAAGCAACTTGAAAAAGAACCAAAGCTTGTAATGAGGTTCTGGATCATTGACGTCAAAACACGAGGATCATTTTGCATTCCCTCGATCTCTCTCTCTTCATGAGTTTATTTCTGGTTTTGCCTGTCCTCACTCTAAATGATACAGAGCAGAATCCCAGAAGAAGGGGGATGTTATTTCCAAAATGACCCCCACTTTCATCTTCTCTGTGAGAACAAGAGGGTTCAGAAAACTGACATCTTCCAGTGTTCCACACTGGTATTTATCCAAGGTTCAAAGGCAATTATTTTTCGGGGTAAATACACACCCACAGATGCAAGCTCATTATGCAAATAGGGTCACTGCTGATGGACAAGAGCTGCAGCCTCATAAGGACTAAAAGGATGCCAGCCAAGACCCAGGGAGAAAGGCAAAGACATTAGCAAA